GGACTCTGGATTTTGGATCAGAGAACTTACGACGAGGCGCGCGGAATGCAAATTCGGTCGTTGAACTGTGTGTTTTGTAAAAGTGTAAAATTCACAAATTACAATGCGCATGGTACGTTTAATATATATATGTTGTAAAGTAACGACATTTCTAAAGTAACTTTATTAAACTTTGCAATACTAAATTAGACAACAATGATATAAAAATGTAATTAACACGTTCGACTTGAACATCAAACGAAGAAGAAAATCATATTATTTCGAATAGCTACGTTAAAAAATTCAGCCACATTTGTATGAGCAGAGATTTAAATTTTCAAGTGATACAGACAGGCATAAATCAGACATGAGATACGCACATCGTGTGTCTCACTTCACAAATCTTTCTACAGAATACACATTTTTATATATCGTCAAATTTCTCATAAATTCATGAAAACCTATAATCTGACAATTTCAACAAATTGTAATTGCTGCTTATTTCTGAAAATTATTCTTTGAAATTTACTTAGAAATTCGACCTTCCCGAAGCAAATAAACTCATGGGAATGTTCTTCGAAACATTAATAAGAGTTACGTGCCTGAGTAAAGAAATTGAAAAATCCATGTAAGGGTGTAATTTTGATGTGTACAAAAATAAAACAAACAAAAATGTAATGATGTAACAAATGAGATATACAATGTGTCAAAATCGATTGTTTCAACGCTCTTACCTTTTGTAAACTTTGTTTCTTCCTATCAAAATATCGATAGACTTTTTGGATTCGGATTTCCATCGTTTCTCCCCAAACGAGAACTCTTAACTTATTCATGTTGAATTTACATTAATAACAGATCTGGAAATCAGGATTTCTAAAACCAATTTAGCCAGTAGAAATTCTGTAACAGCCTGTTCGCCCGACGCAGCACAAATTTCAATTGCAATCTAAAACGCAAGGTTTCCTAATTGTAACTCCCAAAGCGTGATATGTCAAACAGGATCTTCAACGTAATCTAGCATTCCAAGCAGCATAATGATTTGGAGATAATTGCGCAAAAACAATATATCAGATGCAAGTGCAAGTTGTATATTTGATTGTTCAATTAGTTCACAATTAGAACGAGAATATTTACTTAAATTTCATTTACAGATTTGTAAAATATTCCAATTATTCCAAGATCATAGTTTAACCGTGTCGCAAATAATTTTCTTTGCAGCATAAATGTTAGTAGAAACGCAAGGCAGAAATTATCATGATTATTTTATGCGATGGATTTATTAAAAATTGGTAAATGATTTGACAATGAACAAAAAGGTTTTTCATAATTAAATAGCGAAGACTCGAAGATTAACTTTTGACTATGAATTTCACGTTTGCCGGGAATTCATTACTGACAAAATGTAAAATTGATAATTGCAAAAACGCAATTTTCATCGAACAATATGGAAACTTGTTAATACACTCTGTTTTTTTTTTTAATTATTCTCACTTTTAATTATTCAGGATCGTGATATAATGAACTCGTTCCTCAAATATTACGCGATACATTTTTTTCTTCTTTTTCCATAAAAAGTTAATGTATCACGTGTAGTTTTGTGAATTTTTTTAGAGAATAATTTTCACGAAATGAATCGTTCCATGTGCAATCGGCGCTCAATTCTACTGAAATTAAAGTCGTAGAATTTTTTTAATAACAGTTCATGAAATATTGCGGTCATTTTGACTACGTACTACGCAACGGTTTTTCGTCTTCAATCAATCCGTATTGATTTTCATCTGTTCAAAAGCGTGCCACACAAATCGTCCCGTTACTATACATTCATCATTTTCCACGCATTTTCCATTATTATTTCTGATACGTTGCCAATATTTCGATAAAAGAGGACCAAAGAACTTCGAGCAAATACAGACTTTAAAGCAGAATAAAATATAAAAAAAATATTTTATCTTACTCTTCAATTATGCAAATATCCTTCCCCTTCAGTTGCGCTGATTTCATTATTTCAACTAACTTAATAAAATCTAAATTAATCTTTCCCTGCGCGGGGTCTACGTTATTTCGTTAAACTCCCGGAATACGTAAGCGTGGAATTGTCAATTGGAATTTCGAAATCGGTACCAAATAATTTAACCTGATTTCTCTTTGCATATTGCCAATAATACTTCACTAGGAAAAATTGACTCACGATGTCTCGCGTGTGAAGTGAAAAATGAAATTCTACGAAATAAGATGATAATTAATAACTGGAAAAGAAAAAGAGATTTCTCTTCCAACGATATATCGGAGTCACGAGAGGTATGTTTCATTCATTTTGACGCGCGCACGTATCCCGCGAGAGAAGTGAATCGGGGACTTAGGCGAAACAGGCGGCCAAATGTGTTGGAACTGAATGCAAGTGGAGTGAATATGAACACGGCGCAAGTTTGACACAGGAAAGAAGGATCGTTTGCTTTTTGTGTAACGTCCGAAAAAGCGATATCGTGTGCGAAACGGCGTCCGCTGTATCCGTTCGGTCTATCGATTGTCGAACTGAGAACTATCCGGAAACGACGATTCAACTCTTGAATACATTTCACACGAGAGTTTCACAATACCAGCCAGGCATACTGTATTCATGAATAATTACGTTGTCAGCCGATACTCTGGCGATCATTAATCATTAATCCACAATCGAATACTCTAATTGACGTTGTTCAATCTCATTTTACCTAGCGATGAGATCGTCACGAGAAATACCTTAATAAATTATTTATTAGATTCTCCGTTACTTTTTATTTTGGCAAAGATTCGAAACTTTCGTTTTTTTTTTTTTTTTGTTTCTAAAGTTTAAAATTTCCATTTCTTTTCTAAAAGGAAGATTTTTAACAGATCAGGTGATTACGACGTTAATAAAAATTTTACGTTATTGTTAGTTTGAAATGTTAGTAAGTAAAAAATGGCTATGAAAAACAGAGAATAATTATCACGAAGCATAATTGTACAAAGCATAGATATTAAATATCGAACGAATAGTGGAATATTAATGTTCTTAAACATCTTGCGCGAAAATACATCAACGACTGTCGTAAGTAACATCCCATAATCGAAAGGAGATCGTGATATCGGCATCTCGTCAGTTTGCAGCGAATTTGATGAATTATTAAATTATTTGCCATCGATTTACCGAACACATCGCGTGAATCGAATTTAGATGTATCCTCCCGCTGTATCCCGTGAAAATTACGATTCTCCCCCCTGGCGTGAAATTAACAATTCCTCCGCGGCTAAATGATCGTGTCTGACGTAATTAATGAAAACTTCAATCGATTCATTAGCGAAATCCGTCTGACGTGATGGTAACACTTTCACGCTCACTTTTTACAAATATTACGTTTTAGCGTCGATGACTATTTAAACGGAATATAAAATCCCCACCAATTGTTTTCACCGTTGATTCTACGCGAAATATCTCGACATAAACCTCTGATTTTACAAGATGATATTTGTACAATTAACTGATGGAATATTTAATAACTCTTTAAAAATCGGAGCGTCTGTAGGAGAAAACACGGGGAACACAATGTACTCAATTATTTAATATATAAAGAAGATCTGATGTTATTTATCGTCATCGAAATTTTAGTCATTACAGTCCTCCAGTGGTTTTCGGGGTGTACATGTGACAATTCAAAACAATTCGACATTCGTTCTCTAAGTATATGAGTACGATCTGCTGCTCTTATACTATTTCACGC